GTGCCAGAGAAAATACGAACTGGATCATTAATAACTTCCGTTGTTGTTCGAACGACGACGACGGCGAAGGCGAGGTTTTGTCAACAGGTGTTTGTTTTTCCGTGAGCGGTGACAAAATGAAGATGTTGACGGTTTAGAGATGATAAATGACAGTTAGATCCTATTCATTATGCGGTAAGTCAGTAACGACGAAGGGAGTATACGGAATCGAGAGACTCGACAACAATTTTTGAAGCTCGGTTTGGAAACAAACAATTACTTCATAAGTTATGAGGAGAGATTGAAACACATTTTTTTTTCTAGTCCAAATGGAATGGAATGGTAGTTCAGTTAAACTACTTGGTGTTGTAATCGATGACAGACTAAATTGGTCAGAACATGTGGGTCAATTGAAAGCAAAACTTAGCAGTAGACTGTTCGTTGCGAGGCGACTAAGAGGATTGATTGATGATAAGTACGTTATTATACTACATCATGCTCGTTCAATTTATGGAGCGGTACTGTCGGGTGTTATTTTTAAATTGCAGAAACGAGCAATGAGAACAGCTGCTTTATATTCATATTCTATAATTTATTAACACCTTGTTATCCCAAACAATATTGACTTGTATAATCTTCTGAGTGTCAACATAGGATCCTTAGATCGCATATCTTTTAAAGATTTGTTTTTATTGTGATATTCTCAGTACAATTTTTCTCAATTTTTTTCTGTATTTTTCTCTATATTTTTTTCGATTAAAAAAAATAAACTGCCAAATATGCCAAAATCTCATGTTATTTCAATGGGAAACGGATTATGATTTAGGCACGGGTTAATATCTATATTAAGGGCTGAAATGTATCTGATATTTTTTTTAGGTCACAATCTAAACGTTTGGGGGCGTTTGAAGAAAAACCAAATATGGGAAATAACGGACATGGATATGTACCATCATCATCATCATCAGTCGAGCACAGATCTTTTCATGTTCTTTATTCCATCTTTCCCTTTTGACGAGCTATATGTTATACCGTAGTAATCCTCAAAAAATCTAAATTCAGCTTTCGTAGCGCGTAAAAGCGGTGCCATATTGTTATCGACGGACGTCCCACTGCGTACAGATGTCCCTCGGAGTGTCCGACAAGCGTCCCGCAGCGAAACACCGTGTTACACGGTTAAATGCGAGCAGAACATGTGTTAAACCGTCATCGACCGCCAGTTTAACCGTCTACGTGAAATCACAGAAAAATTACGTCGTAACCGTGCGTTAAAAAAAAAAACTCGCAACGCAGCCGGAGCGATTTTTTCGACGGACGACGGTCGCCTTTCCTCTACCGAATTGTCGCGGATGCGTGTTTTTCATGAATATTGCACAATTGTCGCTTGATAAGGAGATCGCGGAAAAAGTAAATCGTCTCGAACGGAGAGGCAATAAAGACCGATCGCCTTCGGAACAACCGCAAACAAAAAGATGTAGGGTCTCTATAATACGTAGATAAGTGGATATTAATTTCATCTGCGGAACAAAAAAAAAGTAGAAAGGAATTATAAGTAAAGAGCTGACAATAACACAATTAAATTAGAACAAAATATGGTCGGATTTTCACAGTTTTTAATGATTCATGGTAGCTTCTAACGATGGTTACGACCCCTCTTTGAAAAATAAGATTATAACTAAAAAGTAGGTTCAAATAATTCTGAACTCTATTTATCCCATATTAAACAATGACCACAAAATTTATAAAACCATTAAATACATAGGAGAATCTAGCAAGAAAATTTCGAGACTTACTTTGGTCTTAATATTGCTTTTAAAACTGAAAACACCATTGGACATTTTTTTAAGAAAACAATAAAATTAAATTACGAAAAATTAAGAAACTTGAATATTGATTGATCACGTCCCAAAATTTATGTAGGACCAAGAGCCACAATATTAAAGAAACGCATTAACGAACATAAAGGGGCGTATAAAAATTAAAGTTCGGATTCGAACTATGCCATTCGTTAAAAAAAAAGTTATATATATATATATATATATATATATATATATATATATATATATATATATATATATATATATATATAATGTTAAAATATTAAACAAATACATAGACTTAACATAAAGCAGTTTTTACTGAGTCACTATGTTGGCTGGCCTCAAAAAAGTTGCCAGTTAAACTGAGTTCCGTTAATTAAAATTGTTATTTTAATTTTACTAAAATGGTTTCAGTATTCGAGAATTTCAGAAACATACTATAGAATAGTTTCCATTTCTCATTTCAGAAAGGCCGATATCGATTTTTGAATATTAATGGAATATGAATCATTATGAATGCAAAACTGCTTTCCAATTCCTTATTGATTCAAAACTTTGACTTAACATAAGTTAAAATATTCAACAAGCAATAAGGAATCAAAAAGCAATCATTGCTATTTGTTGGTTTTCATTATGAATTTATATAAAGAAATACTTATAAAAATATTTAGAGGGTAGGGAAGAAACAAGAGTTCAAAAAAATATATGCGAAACAAGGTGACTCCAAGTAATATCCTAAATGCTTTTTTAAATATTACACCATTAAGTACACCCAGCGCACACTATAAATCTTATCAGAAGATGCATATCAAGAAGAGCAATATCAATTTACTGTATCGTAAAAATAGAAAAAGTGGCACAAAACGTAAGTGGTACTCAATGCGAAGTGCATTAAATTCCCGAAGGTTAATGAGACTGATAAGTTGCAAGTTAAATTCAATGTGCAAGATCAAAAGTTGTTTACGACCGAAGTAAATATTCTATTAAAATTAATAGTGCAATATGAGGCCTCGCATGGTCGGTAATAACATCAACTCGTTCCAAATGAGATATGGGAAATGAAGAGTGTTCTTAATTTTTCCTAAAGAATAGAACGACGGAATTTATATTCGTGTTTGCGTGATGGGTTTTAGAACAGCATCCTTGAGTGGGAACCCTAGTTGTTCTAATAAACCATTTCTGGCTTTAATTATTGGGTTTTTATATATCTCTCGACGTTTTTATATCTGTTGGGACAATAACCATTATGAACAAATAAAGCCAAACCGATCCTAATAAAAGTTTTTCTAGCGTCATAAACACGTACGGGTCTTTTGCAATGATTTTGCATGTAGAGAATAATTGCGGCCATAAGCACGTAAGCGATGCCTTAAAAAAGAGAAACTGTACTACTTAAAAGGAATGTAAATCTTTTCACATATATCGAGATCTGTAAGTAACAACGCTGAAAACAAGATATATATGCTACGGCATTTTTCTCGTATGGGATGCAGACATTCTGAAAAAATGCCGCCGGTACTCGCGGCAGGAATGTTTCAATAACTTTGTTCCCGGGAAAAATGGGATCCTTTTTATCTCGTCCGTCGCCATTAGGCTTAATTTCGATGAGTTTTTTACCACTTAGGAAAAGCTTCCACTTTTTTTTTGTTTATGTGATTCAAAACAAAATATTTCAAAATAAGAATACGTTTTAAGTCTCCACGTTTTGTAATCAAAAAAGGAAACCAGAGACCGCAAGGAAAGTTTGGGTGCTCGAAAATTTTCGCAGATAAATGATTAGTAAGTGTACTCAATTTTTAATGAAATAATAAGTGATAATAGCAAATATTTCAAAACGAGAAAAAGAAGACGAGACAACGGGAAATGCTTCCCAAAATTCAAAGATTTTTGAGATATCAAGATATGATTTTGAGATATAATATATTTAAATAAAATTTAGGAACGGGTTTCTAAAATAAGATGGCCATTACGCCATCTGGTAGCAGTTTCAGAAATTCGAAAACGAATTGCAGCGTTTTCTCCTAGCCTATTTACTTAAGAATTTGTTTCTGGAGTAAAGAGAGTATTAAAATTTACATTTACTACGGTATCCGGTATATATATTCATCAGGATGAGATAGTATGGGGAAGTTTAAAAGAATTTTATGAGATACGCAGCATTAATCGTTTTGGAGAAACTTTAGGATTGGTGCATTATTTCAAGATGCTTTTTAATATGATGATATAACCTGAAACAAATTTGTTCATTTGTTCCCAAGATACACCACAGATTCTTAAATTTTCTAATGGACGCCATATTAAATATTTGCATTGTTAGATAGAGCATAAAAATAATATTAAATAATGCATTCGGTCATAAAAGCAAAATTTTGTTGTTTTTATAGTAGGCCATGATTGCTATCAGAAGAAGAGAGAGTTTTGACCGTCCTATTATTGCTACAAACGTAGGGCTTTACATGTCCTGATGAACAAATGCCTTTATTCACAGTTCAACTGGAATTACAGTCCAGAGGCTAAATGTATGTCAAAATGAGATAAAATATTGTTTTGAGAATATAGTGTTATATGCATCTTGTAACAGAGTAAAACTCGAAAAGCAGACCAGATGTATTTAGACACCTACCTTAAAAGCTTAAGGCCAAATAAGAATTTTCGGAAGAATGGTTGCCAATTGCCAATAAACCAAATATAATATACAATGCAATCGAAGACCCTACATAGAAACATAGAATCAGTAAGAAGGCAGGCAAAGCCTACAGTATATTTTAAAAAGCTTTTGTTTCACATTTTTTACATCGTTTGGAGGACAGATTTAGGTTTGTTAAAAACTTTCGTAATTTAACCGACCCTGCAACTTCTATGCTTTCGGGTGACTCCATGACTCCCCATCCTTATATTGGACACACTGTATTCCATCATCAACGATGCCCAGCGAACATTTTATGGAATCATTATTTCAAATTATTTCTCGACGTCTGCTTCCTTTACTATACATTATCATTTAAAAATATCGAACTTTCCTTGGAATGACACATATACTTATAAAGGTGCTACCGTAAGTATGTTTAATTATTGTTCTATCATTAAAGTGTCACAGGTCAAAAATTACATCGAAGCCTAAAAATTAGTATCATATCGGAAATTGCGCGCAATTGAACGTAATTCCTCGTTTTATTACTCTTTACAATCACTTATGCTCACCCTACGGCCTGCTTCGTTATTGTGTAGATTCATTTTCTCCCGTAAACTTTTGCCCCTCTCCCCGGTGTCGACGAATTCGCGACTGACGTCGAATCCAAAGCCGATGTTGTCCGAACAGCCGCCCCATTCGAAATCTCTGACGTTCGACATCGCCGCGTTGCCGTTTCCGAAAACCTGAGGACGTCTGTGTTTCTCACAGTAACACGTCTCTATGGCACCCTCGCTGCACGCCCTGGCTATCGAATGGGTGACGGCGGCGCTGGTGATCGCGTAAATGAAAGCTGTCTCGCGACAACCTGCAAGAGGGAAGTTTCACAGCTTCGCAATGGCACGGGATATGGTTATTAAGGGAAAACGTCAAGTTTTTGGGTGTCACATGAACCATTTGCAAATAAATTAAACTCGATTTGTGACGGAATTAGCGCCCTTGGTAAATATTTAGAAAATAGAACATTAAAACTACGTTATTTTACAAACCTTGAATAGGTTCATAGGTACAGAATGCTATTTTGGATCGTCGTAGTGGAATACGAGATGTTTTTGTATCGCAGAAAGGAATTCTTCTTCTTCTTCTTCGTCGGATATTGGCGGTTAACCTAGTTATAACGATTTTGGTGACTGCTGTTCTGATTAATTGGGTCGTGGTTTTATTTATTTATTGATTTATTCATTTGTCAAACGATATAGAATTATTCACAATTTACAAATAGTGAATACAATGACAATGATAAAAAGGATTGCAAAAAAAAACGGGCGCACAAGCTTCAAGCTCGCTTTGTATGCGTTCCAGTACTTTTTTCGTTGGTCACTCTGTACAACCATGAAACCCTTAATATTTTTCTGTAAAGCCATGTTTCGAAGAAAGGTATAGAGAAAATATAGCATCTAAGGAGTCTGATGTCTATGTTGAGACAGACTTTTAAAAATCAAACCCACGAAAACATCTCTCGATAATATAGTACACCATAGTAATATACCAAATAAAATCATTTTGGAATATTGGGTAAATGAATAATATTCCGTTGATATAACTTTTAAATTAGGAAAAAAAAATAAGGGACCATTATAAAAATACATAATATATTTTTATAACATAGTAACTTATAATTGTTATAATATAATAATAATAATAATAAAATAATAATAAATTTTAATAACGAAGCGGAAACTTCGTTCTTCAAGCTTTAATGAAATTAAAGGAACTTACTTGAAAAACTGAACTAAATGTGTACACCTACCTAGACTGAACACTTGAAAATGAGGAACGATTAAAGATATTTGATAGGAGCTTTAAGAATTGCGTACAGATACGAAGTAGTTCAAAGCTACCCCACAAGAAAGATATCCTTTAAGTTCACCACGCCTTAGGTCTAAAGATAACGTTGGGAACAACCTAAGAGCCATCAGTGAACGTTTAAGACGAACTAGAAAATATGCTACGATACTCTCTAGTACTCTCTTTAATGAACATACTGACAGCTATTGGGAAATACAAACCCTTGTCGAAAAATTTTGGAGTTCTTTTATTAAGACGATTAAGTATTCTGCAGTAGACATTTTAACTTGAAACTGAAAATACCTACGGCTCATAAGATGTTATGTGAAGAAAATAGAAGCTTTGCAGAATATTAGCAATTTTTATTAGAAAGAGGATTTTGCTATACATATCAAAAACTCATCACGAGAAGAAAAATAAGTGGAAGATAAGTGGGAAAGAGAAGACATTCCTGGTTTAGAAATCTGATCGAATGGTTCAACACCAGTAGTACCAATCTGTTCAGAACTGCAGTCTTGAAACCGATCAAAAAAATGCATGGTTGTGAATGCAATATTACGGTCATTAATCGCTATTTCAATTTCGGGTTTTTATCTATGATTATACTGTTTTGCCATAATCGAGAGAGAGTGACAGGTCATAATCGTTATAAATTAAATTTTTAAATAAAAGTTAAAACTAAGTCGATGTTTTACTAGTTTAAATAGGCTATCTATCTTTGCGTTTGGAATATAATAGACTCAGTGCACGTATTATAAGGTCTTTGGATAAATCGAAGGCAATAAACCCATCAGTAGTCGAATTTTCGGTCCATCATTCATACCGGTAGTCGGTAGCAATAAAGCTCTTTCACCGGGCCAATAAACAAGATTTTTCGGTCACGATATGAATGAAAAAGCGAACAGAAAAAATCCATTATATGTATTTATTAAGGAGAGAGAAAAACGGCGAGGGCACTAAATCAAGCGATGGAGATGTATTTTGTTCGTTAAGGTTTACCTGCCACCATCGAAGAATACTTTAACAGGCACCCCCGCGGTGACGATGCCCACGCGAACCCCATGAAAGTGTCAGCTTAAAAGGTACCATTAACTGAAGATTTTTCATTTTTGTTTATGGCCGCTTTTCGATACCTACGGGGAGACATTGCATTCAACCGTATTGCATTTTTCTGTTACACATATGGTTGAGAACGAGAACTAGAGGTAACGATTTTAGAACATCGGGTATTACAACTTCATAAAAACGGGATTAAATTGAAAACGCCGCGCTTAGCATTTGCATAATAATGGTTGACATGTCACGCGTCGCCCTTTGCCGTATGTCATTAGACCAGACATTTTGTTAGTGGACTAGCCGCCCATCGTCAGAGTGGGATCTGTCGGGGTCCTCGGACAATGTTGCTTGGTACGTACCGTTTTGGTCGATAGCAGTCGATAGATTATAGATTCAAATAAAAAAAATTATATAAACTCAGGATACATAATTTTTGAGCTTTTAAAAAGCTGGACTTTATATAAAACTATTTCTTGCTTTACACCAAACTACTGCAAAAGTAGTCATTTTCAAAAAATTAAAATAGCGAAGTACTAAAATCATAATTCTCTTAGCCAATTTTGTGATACTAAACCGCTTTTCTTTCTCAAAGAAATATAAATTCTATCAACAATAATTTATGAAAATGATGTTCTTTGCTTCAGAGATATATAAGGTTGTTCGGAAAGTCATTTCGTTTTTTCCCGTCAGAGGACTTAATTACGTTTTTTCGAAACCAACTTCACACTTAAGCCGCATAACCATTATATGTCTTGAGAGCTGATATTGCAACGCTTGTGTGTGAAAAAGGTCTATTAATTCTACGCAGTAGTTTTTGGTTGGTGCCCTTTTAAATATGGAGAGCAATAAGCAGCATTTTCGTCATATTTTACTTTTTTACTTAAGAAAAGGTAAAAATGCTGTCCAAACGAGAAAAAAATTGACGGATGTGTATGGAGAAAGCGTGTTAACAGTACGCCAGTGCCAGAACTGGTTTGCAAAATTTCGTTCCGGCAATTTTGATGTCGAAGATGCACCACGGTTTGGAAGGCCGGTCGAAGCTGACAAAGATGCGATAAAGGCATTAGTTGATGCAAATCGGCGAATAACCACACGAGAGATCGGTGAGAGATTAAATTTGTCGAATTCGACTGTTTATGGCCATTTGAAAGGCATGGGCTTAACCTCGAAGCTCGATGTGTGGGTGCCCCATGTCCTTACGGAGCGAAATTTGTGTCGTCGCGTTGACGTGTGTGATTGCTCCTCAAACGTCAAGAAAATGATCCATTTTTGAAGCGGATTATTACTGGGGACGAAAAATGGTTTGTGTACAACAATGTTAAACGCAAGAGGTCATGAAGCAGAAAAGATGAACCGGCTCAAAGCGTGTCAAAAGCCAACATTCACCAAAAAAAGGTGATGCTCTCCGTTTGGTGGGATGTCAAAGGAATCGTTTTTTTTGAGCTTTTGCCGGACAATACAACGATTAATTCAGAAGTCTATTGTCATCAACTGGACAAATTGAATGATTCACTTAAAAAGAAGAGGCCCGAATTAATGAAGAGGAAGGGTGTAGTGTTCCACCAGGATAATGCGAGACCTCACACAAGTTTGGTCACTCGCCAAAAACTTTTACAGCTTGAATGGGACGTACCGCAACATCCACCATATTCTCCAGATCTGGCGCCTTCCGACTACTATTTGTTCCGGTCCCTGCAAAATTTTTTGAATGGCAAAACCTTTACCTCAAATGAAGATGTCAAAAACCACCTGAACCAGTTTTTTGCCAGCAAGGACCAAAACTTTTATGAGAGGGGAATTATGTTACTGCCAGAAAGATGGCAAAAGGTGTTGGACCAGAATGGCCAATATATAATTTAATAAAATATTTATTCATTATACGAAAACTGTCTTTCATGTTCCCCAAGAAAAAACGAAATGACTTTCCGAACGACCCAATAATTGTTAAAGAAACGAGTGAGCTATAAGATAATATAGCGGCCGAACTGACTGAGTGGCTACATTGCCGTAATTCTTCTGGCAACTTGATTAATTTTAATAAGAACGCAACATCAATCTTACTATTGTCGCAGTGTGCCCTGTGCCTTTTATGTTTTCATTTTTGTGTCAATATCTCCGTACCGTATCCACAAACTTTTATAATTTGTGCTTTCAATACTTTGTTCTGTCGCAAATTGCATCAAATGTGGCAAATATGAGGTGCTAATAGGAACTTCGAGAAACAGTGATGCCTATATATTTGACATTTAACAAACTGGAAAGTAGATTCTCACAAATATTTACATGTGAATTTACTAAAGAGATTTTTAGGTACACTTAAATAGCTACGAACATTTTTAGGTAATATGTTTTAGTGTACAAGAATTACAGGAAATATAAGAAAGCAATTAAGCTATAAGTTTAATTTTTACTAGAACAAGCATAAGAAATATCCCTTCTGAAGTACTGTGATGAAAGAGATTCAGCAAACGGATATTGCATATTTTATGGATAGCCTATTTGCAAAACATCAATTTATTTCTGTTTCTGTTCACATCACATCAAATGTATACCAATTGTGACCTGTCACTCTCTCTCAATTACGTTAAAAGAGAATAACTATAAATAAAAACCCGAAATGTTAACAGAATAACCCAACTGGTGACCATAATATTGGATTCACAACCCTGGATGGGTTTTTGACGGTTGCCTCGATCTATCTATCATTTTTTCTTCGTCTTCAAGTGCCGTTTTCATTTCGAAAGTTTTCAATTATCAAAGCTATGTTGCTGTTGTGAAGAGAATCGGTACTGGTGTTATCTTTACAACTAAGGTGTGGTGGGCTTAATGGATGTCTTTCTTGTGTATCTCTATACAATTTTAATATTTTACTCAGCACCTCCATTTGAAGTTCCTTAAATTTCATCAAACCTTGAAGAACGAAGAGTTATCTGTCTCTATATAGCTTTCCATAATACTAGTGGC